GTGTGGGTAGAAGTGAATTATTTACTGCTTGCAAACCAATGATGGTAAGATGATGTCATGGGGTAGGACTGGATAAGTCTGACTTCTTCCTACTCCATTCAAGCATGTACTAGGTATAAGTAAATTGATATTGGATTATGTGTAAAATTATGTGTGTTGTCATATCAACTGTTTTTACATGCTTGAAAGAATAAATCAAATCAAATCAAATTAGTCACTGACAAAAATCGTCCTTCTCTGCTGTATTTATAGTAAGAAATTACTGACTACACTGATTAGAATAAGTTCTTTGTATTTTTAACAAGATCTGCTCATTTGGTTAATTTCAGAAGCTGTTTCTTCATAATCATTCACTTTTCTATGTCCCCAGAGGTATCGCATTCTACAATGGCTCAGCACTGTATGAGATGTACATCATGCAAATGGACAAGATGCAGATCAGCATAGTTGCTGCTGACAGCAGATGGCATAGTACGATACAACTAAATGGATATGTACAGAGGACTAACATGAAAAACTTCTCAAATACAATCAAGTGAAACAAACATTTTATACAGCAGATGAAGAGAAGCCTTTGTGTCTTGTGAAGTGTCTTTTTGAAGTATTGCAAAACACAAAGATGGCGATATTTTAATAGTCTAACACTGCTGTGAAACATGGATGGACAAGGTCAAGTGAAATGGAAGCATAATAATCACTCTCTTTTAACAGCAGGCTGCTTAAGGGGAGTTTAGTATATAAAAGCAGATTTTAAAACTTGACTGCAGATAATCCTTATAATCTGAGAATGTCGAGTTGCTGTCCTCAAATTCACCTTATGGTTACAACTTAATGATGGTTTGCATCTGGTTCCTTATTTATACCAATGCCAGGCATTCTACTCAGGATTTCCATCTGCTTCCTTTGCCAAAACTAGAAAACAATAGCGCACACACCCATCTCTGTCTTAGCACAGTATTTCCTGGAGGGACTACTTTTTATGCAACAGTCCCTTTTCTGCCTCTGGTAGAAGTCAGAGGCAGTCAGGTGACCAGGTTTTCTTTTGCACCAACATTTATTGCTCCTTAAATGGTAAATAAAAGCCAAGATCACCATTATCAGATTGTCTAATTATAGTCCTGAGAGATAATTCCTTCATAGGATAGCTACCTATTCTTCTAGGCACAAATATATCTCGTCTCAGGTAATCTTGAAGTTCAACAATAAATTCAGTGAACTATGATTGAGATTTTTTGTTTGTTTTGTTAGCAGGCTAAACCACATCACCAAAGCAGGCAAACAAATGGAAATACCTGAACGGCCCTGATAATGTCAGTACACTCAGTAATATTTTAAGCCCTCTGCCTTTCCTACAGAACATACAGTAACTTGCTGTGTTTTAGCAAACACAGTGCTGGACCTTTACTGGTGATACAGGGTTAACAAATCAGCTGCACAATCTGACTGGGCGTATACTGGTTACAAAATGTGAGTTTGAAAGCATGTTTCATAAGCCAGAAATTACAGCACCAACAAGAACCCACTGAATCACTGGTATTGATCAACAACCTTAACCAATCTCAACTGATGTGTTGCCATGGTTTTGTGATAGTAAGAACTGTCATTATAGACAGCAGTGTTTCCACAGGTAAAGATTCAAAACATGACACTGTTTTATGTGGCTATTTATCACTTCTCTAAGAACTGTGAAACCGCATTTGTTACAGTATGCATTGTCAGGGGAAGCAAGGTTAAAAGCTGTGGTGTTAAGAGAATGTTTTGCCTAACTGTTGCTTAACAGTGCTCATTATCCATTGCCAAGTATGTTTTTAGTTGAGTTCAGAGGAAGGAAACCCCTGGTACATTTTAAAATCAAGTCAGAAAAACATTAAAAGAATATCAGATGTTTTTATAGTGCTTCATAATAAAGAGATAATAACAAGGCTAATCCTGGCAGGTTCACCCTGACAGGGGAAACTTTATGGCTTTCCATACTGTTCTAGTTTATGTTTGATGTGTGTCTGTTTGTATACAGAGTGAAGGAGACCGAGTGAGTCAGACAGATGCAAACACAAGAAGGGACAATGAAAAAGCAAGGTGGAAATAGGCAGAGTATACGCAACTGCTCACAGATCCCACAGGAATCTGAATCCCTTAATGGGCTGAATCCTGCATTTTGTTCTGGCTCAGTGAGCAGTTATGAACTGTGTGAACAACTGAGGACATCACTGGGGACCCATTACTCTTTGCTCCATTATTCTACCTACATCCCTAACCAACAAGCCCTCACCTAAGACAGCAACCTCCGAGGCTGAGAAATGAAGCCAATGTGGAATTGTCAAAAACTGCAGTTCCTTGAATGGCTGGCTCCAAAAGGGAGTCAACCCCAGAGGCCCCACATTAAAAAAAATTTTTGGTCTCTATAGCCAATTTCCCCTTCCATGACAAATGTACAGGGGGGTGATTTGTTTTTAATAACTCACCCATTAAAATTATTATTGAGACTAAACGTTATGCATAATTAAGGG